CACACACACTCTTCTAACAAGTCGGATCGGCCATAAAACTGGCCAATGAATAGCTACTGACTAGCTGGATGATCAGCCCATACATTGTTTGGCAAATTGGATCAAGTCACAGAAAAGTAGTCTCAGATAAAGCGAATGATTTAACATAATTTACTTTCTCATAGTGAGAGGCTCTATTTAACTTTCACACCCCTGTGTCTGATGTCTTTTCAGGAAATATTGTAGTCTACTTTTCAAAACTTCCCTGCTGGTGAAAGACATGCCTTTATTTTTTAATACATTCTTAATTTCCGATCTATTGGAGTAAACCAGGCCTGTGGGAAAGAAATGCATCGCATGAATACACTTTGTGAAGGTAAACACACAGAGGCATTCTGCTTTCTGTTAATTAATGACAGCCGTGCCAAGCTTTTATAGGAAACCAATTTTACTTTGAACACCAGGGAGATCTTTGAACATAAGGAACATTTCAATTTAGAAAAACTATAGCACAGCCAAAAGTCCAAATGTAACAGGTGAATTACAGTTGGTCTAGAAAACTGGATGCATCGGAATCGGTCCATGAATGTTCAGCAAATACAAATGGACTCCTGAAAATATTTTCTTGAAGCTGAAGACTACTCTAAAAGTTGGGAATTGTTCCAGCATTTTCCCAGGCATTAGAGTTCAGATAAATAGGCTTGGACTGTGGGAGCTGAGAGGCTGGAGTTGGAGCAGCCCACGGGGTAGAAGTGTGCTGTGGGCGGATGAGTGATCGATATTCTCTGCCTCCAAATAGACTGAGTTTGACATTTTTGCAGAATGGGAGTTTTGTCTTCCTCTTATTTTTATTCATTAGAGAGTTATTTATGAATGCGCTCTAACTGTGACATGACCTCCATGGTATATTTAAAGCAACTTAGGCTAGTGTTGTCAAAAGTTTCATTGTACACACAGATGCCACAAGTCAGCAGGAATGCGGAGTTGGGCAGGGTGAGAGGCAAATGATGTGAAGGTTGAGTCATTCTGCAGAGCCTGCTAGATAACCCCTGTTATGCAATGCGTTCTATTCTAGTGCCCTTACGGACTCTGCACCATCCAGACTGCATCTGCCTTGGGCTTGTGCGTAATTGTCTGCCTGGAGGTGCAGTGGGTGGGAAAAGACTGATAAAAGTCAGGCAGGACAGTTTCTTAAAATGAAAACAAATGTCTAGGTTCTCTGAGCCCTCCCAAAGGTGTCTACCCTCTGACTTCCAGGAATCAATTCTACAGAAATACCCAAACACGTGTCCACTAATACATAACAATGAAGTTAATTATCGCACCACATATAAGAATGATAAATTGGAAACAACTCTAAATGGGAGGGGGCCATAATGATGATTAATTCATGAAATGGAATATTATATAAATGGAAAAACAGCCAGACAGTTCTCTATAGATAAAGTTGTCCATCATAGATTGCTGAGGCAGAAACGTTAAATTACGTATATGAAATGTGATCCCATTCCTCTGTGTTAAAAACTGTATATGTAGCCCGGCTGGCATTGCTTAGTGGTTGAGCATTGACCTATAAACCAGGAGGTGATGGTTCAATTACTGGTCAGGGCACATGCCTGGGTTGTGGGCTCGATCCTCAGTGTGAGGTGTGCAGGAGGCAGCCAATCGATGATTCTCTCTCATCATTGATGTTTCTATCTCTCCCTCCCTCTCCCTTCCTCTCTGAAATCAATAAAATATATTTTTAAAAAACTGTGTATGTAACAGTGCTACCTTTGGGGTTTGGAGTTGGGGAAGCTGAGGGAAGGATCCGGCTTCCCATGTTTATGTTACTGGAAAGTTTACAATTAATATGTATTACTTCTGTAACTAAATATATATTTGCAAAAGGAGATAAAATAATTTAAATGCTTTCCATTCAAGATTCCCACAGTAATTCCGGGATTACACAGTAGCCAAAGGAATACTCCTTACAAACAGAGGTTCTCTAGTAGCTCTAGGCTACTGGATGAAACTTTTTTCCAAGTGTATTTCTAGGATATGTGTTCTGTCTCCTGAAAGAAAGTAGGACTATGAGTCTGCACTGTTTATTGGGGGCTCCTTTATTCTAGTGGCTTCATGATACTATTAATCATATACATTATTCATTTTCTATTTTGTAGTTTACAAAGCACTTTTTGCTTGAATCTTGAATAATACAACAAAGCTGTGAAGGGAACTATTATCCTCATTTTCAGGAAAAGTAATTGAGGTTTAGGGAAATTAGTCGATGTGCTCTAAATCACACAGCTCGTTGGGGCAGAACTGCAGTAGAAGGCAAACAGGGATTCCATCCCCAATTAGCCATTAATTCTAGATACATTACTGTTTTTCTAGGTCTCAGCATCCTCAACTATAAAACTGGGATGGGGGAAGTTTTCTAAGGATAAAAGTATGCAATTATTTAAATGAAACCTTTTAGGCACTTTCTATCCCCCACTGAACTTTGGGACAATTCCATGGACGTGTTTAAAAATACTTATGTTGTCACTAAAAAAAAAATGCTTATGTTGTAAAGACAGGGCAGACATTCTTTCTTTTAACACATTTATGTGTAAGGTAAAAGTCTGTATGTTTGTGGAGTGATTTAAAGGACAAATTATTGCAGATTGGTTGAAAGGAACCCAAGGTGATATGGTCACATCATTCCTGCTGTGGCACAGACAGGAACCTGGGAAGCTCCCCGACATTGTCCATCTGGACTAACTCAGGTGGTCATGGCCCACCAGAGGTGGATTGTGGTTCTTCTTTCTTGGCCTTGGTAGTTTCAGCTTGCTTATATGAAGATTCCATTTTAATTAGAGAGATGGCTTTACGCAGATCTAGTTGGTACATGGTAGCTCTACAACGTTTGCCAAACAGCTGAATTTGCAGTGTGAATATTTGGCAATGGGTAAATTGAGTTTTAAAAAAAAGCTTTTCTTATGACATCACATAGGCTTTCTTAGTACCATCTCCCAAACAACTAAATCCTAATCTTTAATCAACACAATTTTCTTGAACCTACACCCGCAGAGCTGTGTTTCAAGATGTTTAAGAGGTTTTGTTTTTATTCAGGTATGCTAAGGCCCATAGATCAAGACATGACTGTCATGGAAAAGATAGTTTGTTACTCACAGTTCCCAAGGGGAGGGCCTATGCCATGCCTTGGGGTGGATGTGGAGCATATAGCGCAGCACCAGGATCAGCCAGAAGGCAGAGGGAGCAAAGGGAAAGCTTGGGCAAGAGTCCTTGTTGTGGTTTCCAGGAAAGAAACAGGTGAGGCAGAGATACAAGTTTAGGATCAGCTAGTTTGAATAATACCAGTGGGTTCTGGGGAATAAGGGCTGTCTATTGGGTGATACATAGCCCTTAAAGCAGAGTGATAGTGGCTCAGGATGTGAAAGCTCAATAAAGGACCAGATTGGACTGGGATATGGATTGGTTGGTTTGCATATGAAAGGTGTGCTCCCTGGGGAGTTCTGTACCATCTCTAGGAATTGATTAGCCATGGGAAGGGCAGTCAGCCCCTCCAGAGTCAAAGGCCCTAGATGTCAAAGCATCAGAATAAAAAGACATGCTTAATACTGGCTGATATAAATGCAGTTAGACTTAAAAGAAAGCAAAGAATTGGCAAGCAGGAGAGTTCATAAAAATTGGATTGCCCTAAACCGGTTTGGCTCAGTGGATAGAGCGTCGGCCTGTGGACTGAAGGGTCCCAGGTTCGATTCCAGTCAAGGGCATGAACCTTGGTTGCAGGCACATCCCCAGTAGGGAGTGTGCAGGAGGCAGCTGATGGATGTTTCTCTCTCATTGATGTTTCTAATGCTCTATCCCTCTCCCTTCCTCTCTGTAAAAAGTCAATAAAATATATATTTTTAAAAATTGGATATATAACCTATTAGTCTGTATAATATTATGTGAACTAACGTATTACACTTACACTGCAGATCACTGGTTTGGCATTAATAAGTATGGGGACATTTATGTGTCTTTTTTTCCCTCCAAAATCACTAGATTATCATTTGAAACAGTTTATTTTTTTGGTTTTCCTGAAATTAAGCTATACAATTCCCAGGTGGCAGTGCGTTCCTAATGGTGGGATTTCCTAGCCCCTCCCATTATATATATATGACATATGTTTACATGTATAAACATATGTAACTCACTTGTCAAGTTGAGAAGCAGTATATATTTACAAATGTGTATAACTGAGTGCAAGTTGATATAAACACACAAGTTTCATTGCCTACCTTTCTTTAAGGGACAGAAAGGTACCATGGAATTTCAACAAAAACGCATCTTACAGTTGAAAAAGATATATCACATTATTGCCCCTCCAACCCCACCCCATGCCTGCCCCTTCCCTTGTTTAGTTAGAGAGAAAAGGTCCCTGAAAAATGTACAGATAAGCACACGTCTTTCATTTTTTTCAGGAGTGATTTATGTTGATATCATTGGGATCAATAGATTTGTTTGCTATACCTTATGGTACCCTTAAGCTAGTCTCCATCAAAAATTAGACAATTGAAAATTGGTTTTGTTTTTACAATGAATGATGATTGCCATTGACTCTGTTCTCTTCTATAGGCAAGTGCCTGGGTGGGGGCATCCTCCTGAACACCAGTGAGGCAGGGCAAGCCAGAGGCTGCCACCAATGCTTTGTTCCTGGGCTGGACTCTGCCAAGCACTAGGACATTGAACTGCTTCTTGGCCTGTGTGCCAAGGATTTCCTTCCATGAAGGATGGGCAAGACAAGGCTTATATACAAAAACATTTTTTAATATCTGCACCCATTTGCTTGTTCAACTTGAGAAGTAATCGGTCTCCAGGCCAGAAGCTCTCTCTGCTGGAAGATTCTGAATTAAACCTTTATTTATTTATAATATATTTTTATTGATTTCAGAGAGGAAGGGAGAGGGAGAGATAGATAGAAACATCAATGATAACAGAGAATCATTAATCAGCTGCCTCCTGCATGTGCCCCCTCATGACTTCCTGGTTCATAGGTCAATGCTCAACCATCTGAGCCACATATGCTGGCCCAAGTTAACCTTTAGATGTAACTGATTTCTTTCTCTCATGACCATATGCAATTCATCCCAAACCCTACTCAGATCTCCTCTCGGAATGGTGTTAGATACATGTAGCTCAACTTCTAAAAACGAATGTACTTTTTTCTTATCAGAACATCATTAACAAGGGGAATAAGACCCAATGCTGGGGCAACAGAGACTGGGGCAGGTGTAACTCAGCTTTAATTGAACCTCTATGTTCTATGCTTAAACCTCAGTGGTATTCTTGACACCTTTCACTTTTATGATGCTAAGAATATAAACATTCTTCAGTTTCTCCTTTTTGTGTGTGTGCGTGTTTTGGCTGTTTCTCTATAAAGCATTCATGACCTCTCCACATTCCCCTAAATGTATTAACTTAGGTCCTTTTATTTCTACTAGTTAACCTGGATGTCTTTTCTTCCTCCTGTACAATAAATTCCTCCTCTGATCAATACACTCACTCAGTATGTACCTGCCTTAAGTAACTCTCAGAGAACTTGGTGTTGGTTTTTTGTTGTTGTTGTTTTTTGTCAAAGTCCATCTTCAGAGTTTAAAGGCGATCTCTAGGGCCATGATAACTTGGGTTCAGGTTAGTAGGGCGACAGCCACATATGCTTCATTCTGTTAACTGCCAGGTGGAAAGTCATTCTGATTGAATTCAAAGTGAAGATGAAAGAAAAAAACACAATCTTCTCAGCTCATTGTTACAGGAAACAGCTCATGGTTCTGCACACATCTGAAGAACGCACCGAAGGCACCTTTCCTGTGACTGTAACAGACACAATCACTGCACTCAGGCTTCTCTGTGGCATCCTGGAGCATCCACCACAAGCATTTCTATTCCTGGATGGCAGATAGAGTAGCACCTTGGGCGAGGGAAGAGCGCTCGGCTGAACTAAATGCCTGAAAAAAGAGAAAGCCTGGAGATCAGGAGGATTGGCTCAGACATTCACTCTCCAGCTGTTAGGAATTTTAATTGTCCTATCTTTATGAACTCAGTAGACCCTTGGAGCATGATTAAAGAGGGAGGAGGGGAAGTAGTGGTGAGCTGTCTGGGAAAGGAAGCAGTTTAACCACTGTATTTGTTTCTGATTGCCGCTATAACAAATTACCACCACCTTAGGGACTTTCAAGACAATTTATTATCTTATAGTTCTGTAGGTCAGAAGTTCAAAATTAGTCTCACTGGGCTAAAGGCAAGATACTGGCAGGGTTGAATTCCTTTCTAAAAGCTCTAGGGGAGAATCTGTTTCCTTGCCTTTTCCAGTTTCTAGAGGCTTCTGTATTCCTCAGCTTACTTCCTCTACTTTCAAAGCCAGCAACAATGCATCTCTACCCGTTTTCCCATTGTACACCTCTCTCTGACTATAGCCAGGGAGGAGGTTCTCTATTTGATTTCTTTGTATGTAGAATCTAATGAACAAAATAATCTGATGAACAAAATAGAACCAGAGGCATGGATACATGGGACAGACTGACAGAGGTGGGGAGGTGGGGATGGGAGGGACTGAATAAAAGAACATATTAGCCAAAGAATATATATGCCTAGCCCATGGACACAGACAACAGTGTGGTGATGCCCAGAGGGAGGTGGGGATGGGGTCTGGGTGGAGGTAGGTAAAGGGTGTGGGATGAGAAACATCTGTAATAGTGTCAACAATAAAATAATACAAAACAAACAAACAAATAAATAAATTCTTGGGATTAGATTGGCCCTACCTGGATAATCCAATATAATCTCCTCATTTCAAAATTGTTAATCACATTTGCATAGTTCCTTTTGCCATCCTATATGATAAAATGCTAATATGCAAATCGACCAAACAGAGAAACGACTGGTCTCTATAATGTGCACTAACCACCAGGAAGTAGATGCTCAACCCAGGAGTTGCCCCCTGGTGGTCAGTGCGCTCCCACAGGGGGAGCACCACTCAGCCAGAAGCCGGGCTCACCACTAGCAAGCTCAGTGGCAGTGGTGGGAGCCTCTCCCGCCTCCACTGCAGCACTAAGGACTGTGAGAGGGCTGAGGGACACCCGCTCCTGCCCCTCCCCCCATGCACGAATGTCATGCACCAGGCCTCTAGTATAAGATAGCATTTCCACCAGTTGAGAGATGAGGGGAATTATTCTATCCTACCACTAGCACAAAGTTGATGTCCTTACTGAGATAGCAAATAGAAGCTTCTACATTTAGACCTATCTTTTTTGTTTCCCTCATATCTAATGAGATATCCATAGATTTTTTTTTAAATTATCTATTTGACAGCAAATCAGTCTGTGAAAATGAAATTTGATTAAAGGCAAATAATAACATTAATGATACCATACTTTCTCTTTATTCAAATTATTTAATTTCAGTTTTAGGGATAACTTTGGTCTTTCCTTCTCTGTGTCTCTTCTTCAAACATACATGACCTTTCTCTTAAAAATATTTTTTTTTTTATCTTCCTGACCTCTCTAGGTATAGAATGAGTCCTCTCCTTTCTTTGACTGCCAAAGTTCTCAATAAATTAATCAACATGTATTACCTTTTATCCCCCTCACCTTCTGGTCATCCCTTAAACACTAGAAGTTTGATGTGTCCTAATCTCTCTATTGGCACTGACCTGCTGAAGGTCCCAGGGGTCATGTCACTAAGACCCCGTCTCTCAATTCTGCTGTCAGTTGGATGTTCCTACAATTCTCAATACATTGACCAGGCCCATCTTGAAACTCCCCATTGCTGCCTTGTGTGGCTCTCCTGATTCACTCTCAAAATGCTGCCAGACCGTGGTTCCCCATCCTTCTCCTAGCCCTTGCCTCCACACATGGCCTCTGCTCTTCTCTTCTACACTAACTTTCACAGACTTCTCTACATAGCTGCCTCTATGTGGATATCTACCAAATCTACTTTTCTAACTATCTGGTGTTAGCTTAAATTTCCAAATTTGTTCTCTCTTCTGTTTTATTTACATACTTGCTTATATGAAGGTTATTTATTTATTTATTTTTGTCAACAAACCCGCCATCGTCTTAGTTGTCTTGTCTGAATCTCCAGCATTTGAGTCTGACTCTTTTTTCCCCCTTTAGTTGACCTATTCACTATTTTCATTCAAACTGTTTCTGGCAGCTTTTCCTTTCCTTGCAATGCTGCCATCATGACTCTCATCATCCAGGCCTGGTTGATCTCAAGTTCTCCTCCCCAATTACCTTATCACCACTGCTAGATTAATTCCCAATCTCTCTTCTTCTGTTATGTCATTCTTCTTTTCTTCATTGCCTAAGACCCAGTAATGTTTAAACTCTCTGCAGTCTGAATCTAATCAATATTTCCAAATTTACCCTAAACTTTTCAATTTCTCCAAACTCTCTGTGCTCACTGTCTTGTGAACATGCCTTGTTCATTACTATCTCTGGGTTCACATGGTTTTCCATTCCTGAAATACTTTCTTTCTCTCTACCAATTTACTTTCATAAATCTTTCAAAGCTTGAGTTCCAATTTCCCCAATCAATACTTTTTTGGCCATCTCTACTTATAAAATTTCTCCTTCCTTTGAACACATTAACATTTGCTGCACACATTATAGACTAGCAGAGAATTTCTAGAAGGTCTAGTCATCCACCCACCCATCTTCCTGCAACTGTCACGATGTCCTCAATTCTTTCCACTGCTACTACAGAGAAACTCTGCCTAAGACAACTTCTCCACTAGTCTACCAGATCCCTTCCTTCTTGCCCATTCACCAAAGACCTCCACCTTGCTGAATTCAATGCTTAATTCTCATTTCTTACTTTGTTTGACCAATCAGAAACTTTGAGACCTTGATGACTCTCTCCTATTTGAAACCCTTTCTTCACTTGGCTTCCAGGACTCCCATCTCTCTGGCCACTCACCCTCAACTTCTTTTGCTGGTTCCTACTCATCTCCTAGATCTCAACTAGTAGCAGTTCCATGTCTCAGTCCTTGGCCCTCTTCTCTTTTCTATAATCAGTTACTCCCTGGGTGACATCATCCAGTCTCAGGGTTTAGAGTACCATTTATATGTAGATTCTGTTGGCATTCAAATTTATGCCTTTAGCCTGATCTTCTACCCTGCTCACTCAGCATCTCCACTTAGATATACAATAGGCACCTCAAATCTAGTGCACCCCTACTGAGCTTCTGTACTTTATAGAGTCTTCCCCATGTCCACGGAAGATACTCTATCCAGTCCCCTTTTTTTCCTCTCTCACCATGCATTGTACATATCAGAAAATCTTGTTGGCTCTACTTTCAATATATATCCAGAATCCAAACCACTGTTGTCACTCCACTATTATCATCTGATCTCTGCCATCTCTGTATAAATGATGCAAATAACAGTAAGAGTGTAGGCCCTGGAGTCACATCTTGTAGGCTTCAATCCCCCATCTGACACTTCCTAAGGGTATAACCTTGGGCAAGTTATTTATCCTCTCTATGCTTCAGTTTCATCATTTGTAAAATAATAACAATAATAATAATAATAATACCACTATGGTTGTTACAAGTGTTAAATGAGAAAAACATAAAGTGCTTAATAGAGTGCCTGGCAAAAGTATGTGATCAGCAGTAGAGTGCCTGGCAAAAGTACTCAGCAAATGTGATCAGCAAATGTTAGCCACATGCTATTAGTCTATAAAGCTATAAAAACTCCATGACAATAGGTGGAAAGTAGTAGACAAGAAGATCAGAGTAATGTGAAATGGCCATTCTCCTAAGCATAAGCCATCCAAATCTTTCAATACCCAAACCCACACTGAACCAGGTATGGAATTATCTTTCCAACCCATTCTGATCTGTGCCTACTGCTTAGTTATGTTGCTTATTTTTCACAGCTTTTACTTATAGATTTAGAGAATAATACAGTTGACCCTTGAAGAACCCAAGAGTTAGGGGCACCAACCCCTGAGCAGTCAAAAATTCACATATAACTTTTGACTCCCCCAAAAGTTAACTACAGTTATCCCTTGATATGGTTCTAGTACTCCTGTAGATACCAAAATCCGCAGGTGCTCAAGTCCCTTATATAAAATGGCATAGAACAATGCATATAGTTTGACCCTCTTTATCCATAGACTCTTAACTATGGATTGAAAATACTATTTTCAAACTGTGATTGGTTGAACCTGCAGGTGCAAGAACCAGGGATAAGGAAGGCCATCTGTATATTTATTGAAAAAAAATCCCCATTGTTTTCCAACTTGTGCTGTTCAAGGGTCAACTGTAGTGTAGCTCACATTTCTTGATCATGTATTATTTGCTATTGTCACCTCTTTTTCCTTTGTCTTAGGAGTAATTTCTATAGCTTCTCTTCTCTAAACTTCCTTTCAAGTCCCAGGAACCTCAGACAATCTTCTTCCTGATTCTGGCTATCTTCTGAGCTGACCTCCCACTTTCAGGATTCCATATTGAGTTTGCTGTCATTGTTACAAATATATTATTTAAACGAGTGCTCTATAAACCTGGTTAACAATACTGGTGTGAGAGCTGTTTTAAGTTCTTACTTTATTGACACAAAGAAACTGGGTTTCTTGGCAAAAGTGGTTGATCTGGAATAGAAAAGGGTAAACTGCTGGGTGAGAATGGAAAAAGCAAGTAATTAAAATTATACCCTGCCCTGGCTGGTTTGGCTCAGTGGATAGAGTGTTAGCCCGTGGACTAAAGGGTTTTGGGTTCAATTCCTGGTCAAGGGCACATACCTAGGTTGCAGGTTCAATCCCTGGCCCTGGTCAGGGCACAAATGGGAGGCAACCAGTCAATGTTTCTCTCTCTCTCCCCTCCCTCCTCCCTTACACACCCTCTGAAAATCAATGGAAAAAATATCCTTACTCCTAAGGTGCGAAATTTAAAAAAAAAAAAAAAGCATAAAACCATGCCCACAAAATGTAGGACAAAAAAGAGTCAGACAGCTTCCAGAAAAGGAAATTGAGAAACTAAATAATTTCCCTAAATATCCAGAAAGTAACCTCTTGAAATTAGGATAAAACTTCAATGTTTAAAACTTTGGGGATTTATTTTGGCTAAATCCAAGGATCCTTAGGAGAAAATCCCTTTTTGTTGTACTTTTGTTTCAGCAGGATTCATAAGGGCATATGGTGATCTGGTTGGAAAACACTAAGAGACATCTCCCCCACTGCCAGCCCCTTCTCTGACTTGCCACTCAAATGATCTAAGGCTCTTGATCACATACAGATTGCAGACACCAGATAAATTAGGCAGATGAAACTCATACATCAAAGCCACCTACTTGGATTCCTTTTTGGCCATTGGTGCATTTCCTGTCTCTCTCTCTCTTTTAATTAGCCTCATAAATCTGACCCTGACAAGGTCCTACCTCTCCATACCAAAAGAGGAGGTGAGATGGTAATTTGTCCTCAAGCTTTCATTTACTTCTCCACTTGAGTGACTATCAATGCCCTGTGGCACCCATTCATTACAGGGGCTCAGGTGCAGCTGTGGGGATGTGTGTGCCAAGTCCTGCCAAACTGGATACTCCTTCCAAAAGAGCAGGATGGGGTCTCCAAGCACTGTGCACATCAGATGATCACACTCCACGGGGCCTGCTGAAACCCTGGCATGCTGAGAGCTGTAAACAACATAACACATTGTTATGTATTCTTCAGAGTATTTGACTTGCAATGGCTATTCACATACTGATGAATGATTACCTGGACTCAAGTAATTTTTCAAGAGGTTTATCCAAATCAAGCATTGAAGATAAAAACAGAGTTGTCCAGGTTGGGGGCCTGGCTGTGATGGGGGACCTGTGTTGAATTCATCATTTTTAGGGACATCTGACTCAATCTTTGTCTCCTGGTCTTGACAATGGGAATCTGGAATGTTGACCTAGCTCATGTGGGCCAAGTTTGAATTTCTCATTATTCCTGGAGAGCTGCCTTCTATGTTCTAGTAGCTGCATCTTGGCTGAGTCTTGGGTCATTCCTGAGTCTTTCCCTTTCTCCCTGCCCTTGTAAGAAGGAAGCTATCTCTTTTTCTTCTCTCAGGTGGATGCTATCTGCAGTTGGCTTGGTGCCTCCTTGTCCTCTCAGGGCTTCCCCAACCCCTTGCACTGGGAGGGGAAGGTCGGGCACTCCCTATATTCCCCTAACATGATTTGCATCCCCCAAAATGCAGTAACTATGAGCAGGCATTCTCTGCAGAGGCTTTTCTATCTAGTCCATTTAAAGTCCTTGAGAAATGGAGATACCTCATCGCACTCTGACAGCTTATTTCGGCTATTCACAAAGCAGTATTAAACCTCTTTTATGGGCTCATAACAGCCTATTGAGAGAGCGTAATGGTTTCTCATACTTTAGAATGCCCACCATTCCACCAATACTATAGACAATTTATGTTTTTGGGGGCCTTATGGTAGGCCTCCATGCTTTTCATTAGGGCATAATTCTTGGGAGAATAATGTTCTATACTGCACCTGAGATCATGGCTGGCACATGTGAGCAGTCACCAGATATTGTTGGTGATGACAAATGACAGCAATGACAACAGCTGCCATTTATATATGGAGCACTTATATGTCAGCCTTTATGGTCACTCTGTGCTAAGTGCTCTATATTGATTCTCACAGAAACTTTAAGAAGGATATTATTACTCTTATCCCCATTTCACAGACAAGAAAACAGAGGCTTGGAGAGGCTAAGTAAATCCCTCCCCCCACACTAAAATTTGAACTAAACTCTCTATGACTCCACATCCCAGACTTTACAGTGTCTTGTCGCTGTCATTATTGTATATCCTTAGACTCCCCTGTCTTGGCTTTGGGTACATGCATTTTCTTGGTTTTCTTCCTACCTTTCTTCCCAATCTCCTCTTGCGATAGAGCTCTAAGTGCCTCAGAGCCAGCCTTGACCTGAACCTCTTCGTTTTCTAGCTACACTTTCCCCTAAGCCAGTGGTCGGCAAACTCATTAGTCAACAGAGCCAAATATCAACAGTACAATGATTGAAATTTCTTTTGAGAGCCAAATTTTTTAAACTTAAACTCTATAGGTAGGTACATTGTTATTAACTTAATCAGGGTACTCCTAAGGCTTAGGAAGAGCCACACTCAAGGGGCCAAAAAGCCGCATGTAGCTCGAGAGCCGAGAGCCGCAGTTTGCCGACCACGGCCCTAAGCAATCTCATCTAGTCCCATGAATTTAAATATCAAGATACATATAACACCTTTACGCTGACATCTCTAAAATCTAATCTTCATTCCAGACTGCTTCCCTCACTCTCAGTTTCATAATTCCAATTGAGATTTCTAAATGGCATCTCAAACTTAAATTCAAAACAGATTTTCTTTTTTACTTCTCCTCCAAGCATGTTCCACTTCTCAGTGCATGATACCACCATGCAAGCACTCAAACCTGAGGTGTAGGCATGGTTCTTCATTTCTCCTTTCCCTTATGTGGAGTCACAGTAATTCTTATTTCGATCTCTACACCTCTCTGTTTCTGATGAAGGCTCTTTAGTCTAAACAATTAATACCCCTGTCTGGACTATTACAGTAGCCTCCTGACTGGTGTTCCTGCTTTCTACCCCTAGTCCCAATCCATTTTTCACATACTCTTCTGAGTGACATTTAAAACATGACTCAACTCATTCCCTTCCCCTGCTTAAAATTCTTCAAAGATTTTCTTTTGACTAAAGTCCAACTCTATCAGATGGCCTTCAAGACCTTGTATGATCTGGCCATTGGCTGACTCTGCAACGGAATCTCATACCACTTGCTGCCTCGCTCACTGCTCTCTGCCTATGGTGGTCTCTTTTCAGTTCCCAGTGGCACAGAGCTCCATGCCTCAGGACCTTTGTATTGGAGGTTTTCTCTGCCTGGAGTAGAACTCCCTGGCCCATGAGTGCTCAAATGTTAGTTGAACAATTGAGAATAGTAGATTGCCTCTCCTTATATGAATAATATAAATAATAAGCACATTAAAATGTTATTATCAACTTATTTAGCCATTTGTATTTATGATATTTAAATTATATGGGCTTGACATAATTAAGCAATGAGTTTTCTAAAGCATGTTTATATGTTTACATGAATGGAGTAGGGACAGGAAGGGAGCAGGAGTGGGAATGGGAGGAAACGTTAATTAGCCTGTGATAATCATGAATCATTAATCCTGTGAGACAGATGTTAATATCCATGTTTTAAGAACCAAGGTGATTAGAAGAGGTTAGGTAAGTAACTGACTAAGGGTGAGCAGGTCGGCAGCAGTGGGTCTGGAATTTACAGGTGGTCTGACTCCAGCAAACACGTGTGGTCCCCAGGTCCTGGAGCCTTGGAGCAGACACAGCTGAGAGCTGAGGTTTGAGGGTGAGAAAAAGGACACATACCTGGAAACACTGGCTTTTTTGTTCACATGGGAAGCATCACTGGCTGCGGTGAGTTGGAGAGACTGGACATCTTAGTTATATCCAATTCTGTCTTGGTTGTCAAACATGGCCTCCATGAGCTGAATCAGGCCGCACCTTCAAGACACGGTATCCATACACACAGATAAGGTGGGAATACAGTTAGGTATGACAATTAATAAGCCACCATCTGCTAAACATCACACTCTGAGTGGGACTTAACATGGTTATGGGTTTCTTTGAACATTTTTTTTTTCACCATATGTGCTTAAAGTCTCTAAAAAGGAAACAGCTTAATCCAGGAATGTGAAAAAGAATGGTGACATTCTGTAGTGTGTCAGTGAAATGAGAAACTTATCAGGCACTGTCTATTTCGGGGGGGGGGGGGGGGGGAGTTGTGGTATTTTACGGTTCCAGGCTTCCAGTTAGTGACAAAATGGCACTGCCAAGATGACTTAGCACAAGTGTGGGGTGGAGAAGGGCACTGCGGTAGGTGCTACTTCTAAAAGTTACTTTTGGCTTTGTCCTGGACTAATTTTGACACAAGTACAGAAAATAGCCCTTTTCCTCCAAAGCCTAACTGAAATAACATCTAATCGGCTTGCCTTACACATATTCTTCCTGATGGATAGTATCTCTCTGTTGCATTGTGTTTGCACCTCTGTGCTAGCACTCATCCCAGGCCATCTCTCTTTTAGCCACTTGCATTTCTATCTTCTTCCTTCTCCACTAACCCACAGCTCCTGAGGGCACAAACCATGTTTTTTTCATCTTTGCATACGTCAGTGGGACTTAGCACAATCACTTACACTGGAGGTACTCAATATGCTTTGTTGAATTAAAAAATAAAATTATTTTAGGAAAAACAATTTAGAATCATGACTGCAACACAACATGCCTCAATTATTTACAGATATGACACACTGTAGATCAGGAACATAATGGGCTATATCCTTACATTAAATGCTAAAACAATTTTACCAAGAAAAAAAAAATCTCCACTCATTATGAAAGCCGGTGTGTGGTTTAGGTTAAGTTGCATTGAGTAAATTTTGTGGAATCCAAATGTTTGAAATAAAGAGTGATGTTGCTTTTGGTCTTGGCCCTGGGGCAAAGGGTGAAAGCCTTTTAGAATATTCATGGTTAGCTTAGCATAGGTATGTCAATAAATCATGGCCATAGCTCTCTGATAATCAGGTCTCCCTCTCTCTCTCTCTCTCTCTCTCTCTCTCTCTCTCTCTCTCTCTCTCTCTCTCTCGACATTTTTATAGAGAAATTATTTTAAAACTTCCTGACTGTAAAGAGAAATACAATGAATGTCATAAAGCACCTATATATTATGATAAGTGTGTTTAGAGCAGGCAAAGTATTTTGTTTTCTAAATATTTAAACATAGCCAACACATCAGTTGGGATGTTAAAATGCCATGGGAATACTGACAGCAACAAAGAAGGACTTTAGAGCAAGATAGCAGATAATTCTCTCTAACCTAGAAAGGAGAGTGGAAGATGAGGGATTACATAATCAAAGTCACATCTGAAGAAGATGCATTTGGCAACAGTATACAGGATAACTGCAGGCAGGGTTGCTCCTGGAAGGGTGGGGACCAGGAGGAAGCTGTAATAAGAATGCAGATATGAGGTGAGAGGGGCATAATGACAGCAAGTAGTAGATACGTAGAGGAAAATTTGGCTATAAAAGACTTGTGAAAGAAAAAATCCCCACGATTTTGTGAATGTGATAGATATTTCTAAAATAGTGAGCCTGAGTGACTTGAAGGATTTGTCAATATAGGAAGTAGGGAGGGGTAGCTGAACCATAGGGAAATATGAGTTTACTTTTGGACATGTTGAGTTCAATCGTACAGTGAGACACCCAGATGGAAAGTCTCTGGCTCTATCCTGTCATTTTAGGACATTGTTGTTCTCAGAGGGATGCATGGGGGATATCAGATCTGCAGACAGCAAAGAGATATTTAGGGCAAGTGAAGAACAAACTAAGTTTGAAAACGTTGAGGTCACAGCACAGCCACGGCTGAGACATGCTACAGTGGTCTGGCTGGATATTTGATGTCACAGCATGCTGCCTCCCTGCCAGGCTAAATGCCCTCATACATTGACTGTATTCTGGGCTAGACTTCTGTTTCTACTCGTCTATAAGTACTTAGCTTGTAGTCAGGCATTAGAACATGACAACTTTAGAATTTTTTAAATGTAGGAAAATAATCCTTATTTTACGGTGGCCCGAAATATTGAAGCCTCCAAATTTGCAAGGTAGACATGTAAATCAGAGAGTTAATATTCTGACTGTAATGACAAGATGCCTGATCTAATCCTCCTGGTAAAGTTTAATTCATCCTTCAAGAACTAACTCAAAGGTTACTGTCTCTAAGCAGTTTCTTGACTCCCCAACAGTTAATTTTTTTCCTTGTCCATAGTCCCACAGCTCTTGGTTCTTATCTCTACTAGAGCACATAGAACAGTCTATGTCTATGGGTTGCCACTAGACTGGTTGCATCTTGAAGATGGGAACTATTTATCTGTGTATTTCCCACTTCCCTAACAGAGTGGGGTTAGTGGGTGGCATTTCATTGTTGGAAATACCCAAAAGAGAAATTTTAAGGACACGGATGGAGCCATGTGCAGCTGCCGTAGCAAAGCCTGTGTACGCATCATATGTCACATCCCTGCTGATGGCGTTAATGCTGCACCAGCAGAGGCAGTGCGCTCATTACATGCTGCTGGCCCATATTTGTAATGTGTGACATTTTTTAATGAAATACTGTCAAGGGTAATTCATCATATAGTAACTTTTGGATTATATGCTGAGACGGGTCTTACACATAGACACATTGCACTTGGAGGATAATGCTGTTTTCAAAGGAGGGTATGATCCTAAGGGTCTGGCTAGGAAAATGCGGCTGAATATTAGGCTCTTTTAAGTTCATCAGATGTGCCTGAAAAAGAGGTTTCCTTTTGTCTACTCCAGTTCAGGACGGTCATTGTGTAAAGAGAATCAGGTGACTCTGAAATGGGGCAGACTATTTCTTTCCTGCAGAACATCAGTGTTTGAAAGGGAGTGAAGGCTTGCTACAGGTTTGTAATCACTTTATCTCAAGAGGCATTTTAAAAAAATAAAAGGACTCATGACAACTTGAGTGAATTTCAGATGTCAACCGTTGAAGGTGTTCTCTCTGCGTATCCACACAGATCTAGGATTTTACGCCTATTACAGAGAATAAATAAAAGGAAGTTTCTAAGTCTCATCATTTTTGTGTAAGTCCAGATAAGACGCCTTTGATGAGCTTAGCATTTCCTTTTAAGGGAGAGCTTATAGGTGAGAGGAACACTAAAATTATAATTCTTTGTCTTCCTTAATTAGACTGGAGCTTACCATAGATCTTGCTGAAGCTGTGAGAAAATCCAAGCAATAATTCACATTGTCAGGCCAGCAGAAATGGGCACGGGGGTCCAATATGACTGAAAGATTTGCTTAAGTGATCTGTCGGTTAACTGAATAGCTCAGAAGGGGTACAAGTCTTCATTGGAAATATACCCTCTGAAGATAGTACAAAGAGCAATGAAAAAAATCTGAGCAAGATTCTTATACCACCTTTACAAATGTCATTCCAGAGGAACTGTGTAAATCACATTAATGCCAATTGATGTGGGGGCACTAATTAATAAGTCCCATTAAATGGTGGAGTAATGACATTTAGCATCTAATGACTGCCTCATAATCTTTTGATCATTAATATTTCATAGCATAAGAACACAAGAACTGGCATCCCTGGGTTCATGCAGCATGGCTCTCCAATCTCTGACATGGCCCCAAGAGGACTAAGTGGCACAAGGACTAAGGGTATTGCACCTCTGATGTAAGGATGCACAACACAAGCAATTAACTCTTTCAGTTCCGTGGGTCCTAACATTTCCTCATGTGAGAAAACTATGCATCTGCCTGCCATTCTCAGAATTAACATCTGTGACTACTGGGTGCCCTGAAGAACAGCAGGGAGCTGACATGTGGACTTTGGGGTGTAGCATTGCTCTGTTGCTGACCCTCCCAGCTCATGCAAGACACTGCACAGGAGAAAAAGGCATTACTTTGATTTATTACCAGGGCTTTCCTTATTCAAAGGCAATGATCACCTCACAGAGCAGGTGCCATAGCAAGGGTTTATTGATCCGATGCCCTCCTAGAAATTCCAGGAGGATGCCACTCTGGCAAGAGATGGAGATGGTTAAGGAAAAGGAAGCCCTTCTCGGAGCAGGCTGCAGTGAAGTGGAAGAAACTCTCTGGCCATGGGTCTACCGCTCCAGGGACACCCGGGGGCTCTTTTCTTTCACAAGAGGGGCTGGAGCAGAGAGAACTCAGAGCTTGCAGTGGGCAGGTGAGAGGGAAGGAGGAAGGCGACAGAGCTGCCAGGGGCGGGAGAAAGGGTCTTCAGCTCCAGATCAAGATCCCAAAGAGTTAAATGCTGCCAAGCAGCGCGACCTGGGTGGGATTTGCTTCTGGGTATAAAACAGGACGCTGATCGAAATCAAGTGGGACAAGTGACAAGGCTGAGTCTGATGTTGGTGGATGTCTTTTCACGTCGTTGGAGGGCAGAGGACCGGAGGCAGGCAGTGGGCTCAGCCAGTCCAGGGCAGGGACCAAAAGGGACGCGGAGCCGGTGAAAAGAGGGACACATGGGAGGAGAGAAGAGGGAAAGAGTTGAAGAAAAGTAAGGGGAAAGTGGGAACCAGGGTAGGGGGGGGGGGCGGGGGGGGGAGGGGAGAGAGAAGAGAGAGGGCGGCGAGGAGGCATTAAGAAGGGAAGGGGGGTCGCTGGAGAGAAGGGCCGACAGTTCGATCTGGAGGAGGGGAGAGGGGCGAGGGGCGTGAGCGCGGGGTGGGCGCAGAGAGAGAGCAGAGGGGCTGGAGGAGGAGGGTGAGAAAGTGCGATCGGCAAGGCGCGGGGAGAGGGGTGGGGGCGAAGATTCTGGGCGGGGAAGGGGACAGGAGGGTGGTGGGGAGGAGAGATAAGAAGGGGAAGAGGGAGAGCGCGGGGCCAGCAGCCGGGTGGGCGGGGAGGCCGCGGGAGGGAGCGCGGAGGAGAGCCGAGGCCAAGTGCATTGTGTCTGGCGGCGGCGCGCGAGCCCACCGGCGGCGGCGGGGCTGCGGCGGGGCGGGGAGCCATGGAGCCGCGGGCGCTCGTCACGGCGCTCAGCCTCGGCCTCAGCCTCTGCTCCCTGGGGCTGCTGGTCACGGCCATCTTCACCGACCACTGGTACGAGACGGACCCCCGGCGCCACAAGGAGAGCTGCGAGCGCAGCCGCGCCGGCGCCGACCCCCCGGACCAGAAGAACCGCCTGATGCCGCTGTCGCACCTGCCGCTCCGGGACGCGCCCCCGCTCGGGCGCCGGCTGCTCCCCGGCCGCCCCGGGCACGCGGACCCCGAGTCCTGGCGCTCGCTGCTGGGGCTCGGGGGGCCGGACGCCGAGTGCGGCCGGCCGCTCTTCGCCACCTACTCCGGCCTCTGGAGGAAGTGCTACTTCCTGGGCATCGACCGGGACATCGACACCCTCATCCTCAAAGGTGAGCGGCGGGCGCGCCTCGCTCCCCGGGCGCCCACCCGCGCGCGCGCGTGCTGTGCAGCCGCGCCTCCCGGGGTCACCTCCCCACCGCGTCCCGGTGCCCGGGCTCCCTCCGGCACATTCTGTCCTCCTCCCCAGCCGCCTCCACTCTAGATCCTTTCCCCCTTCTTCCCCGTTCTCCTTCCTTCTCCCACTCCCGCACTTGATTCCTCCAGAACTCTCTTCTTTCCTCCCCATCCTGTTCTTCCTTTTCCCCTTCCCTCGGGTCCGTGCTTTAGCGCCCCCCCCCCCCCCCCCCGCCTTTCTCTGCCGCTTTCCTCCTTTGCCCTCTGAGTTCCCTCTGCTTTCCCTCTCCTCCGCCTCCCTGTCTTGTGCACCTGCCGCACTTGGAACGCGTGTCCATTTTCTTGAAGCGGCTCCCCACTGGGCTCCCAGCAGGCTCCTTCCCTCAAGTTGTGCTTTCCTTTTTGAAATAACGGTTGGAAGAAAAGTGGTGCAAACCTGGGGAGGCGGGGAGAGGGGCTTTTTCCATACGGAGCTGATGCTGGTGGCAGAAGGAACTGATGTGGTAGCTGCCAGGCTAGTGGGGAGCTCAGGAGGCCCGAGGAACCGGCCCCCAAACCTCCTAAACTGCCGGGTTCTTAGGGATTAGACCTCAACGATAGCCTCAAGGCGTTGGTGGAACTCAGCCGAACACAGATCGGACATCTACTAGTGCTTTGTTCCACCTCGGTGAGGACGCTGCACACCATCCTCAGTGTCCACTCTAGACACACCTGGGTGAGGAGAAGAGAGAACCTGCCCAAACCCTTGCAAGTAGAGCTTTCCGGATTCGCGCGTGGAATCTCTGCATGATCACTCTCTGTTACTTTTGTGCCAGCTTGTAAGGCTGCTTCGGTCGTTGTTTTGTCATTTGGCACTGAGTTGTAGAGCATCAGTTTGCTCTTCTGAAATCTATGCATCACCTGGGTCCTATGTATGGAATCACATAGTTTAAAAAAATAATCTCGTTTATTCAATGTGACAATCCTATTGGGGAAGCTCATTTCTAATTTTCAGAGCTCCGGCCTTAATACAACATTTTTGGAGATGCAATAAATAAATAAATAAACCTTTCTCTTGGACTAGCAAAAAAAAAAAAAAAAAAAAAAAGAAAGAAAAGAAAAAGTCTAAAATCAGTACATGTTTATATTTAGTAGCCATTCAGGAAAACAAATGAACAGACTTGTGTTGAATTCCACTTTGGAATGGAATTGCTTAGAAAGGAGGAGGTTAATAATATTTTGGCCTTCAGAACCTTGTTAGTTGGCATATTCTTCATTTCTCAAATGTGTTGACTTCCAGCTTCCCATGGCTCGCTCAGCTGGGGTCTGCCATCTGAAACCTGTCTGTTCATGGAGGGACTCCAGAGCTTTGGGGGACCAGACACAGGAGCCTTCCCTTGGAGAGTGCACCTTTTTCTTTCCTCTCCTAACTTGCATCTAAATCTGATTTCTCCTCATGACGATGCTGCATAATTAATTCTGATAGTAGCACAGCACATGAACAAACTGTAAACGCTGGATTTGGAGGCTCAGTTATGGAATGCTCATTTAGGCAAGGCAATTTAGAAAGATAAGCGGTGTAGTCTGTCTTTGGAAATGACAGAGCTGCATTTCCTTGCACTCTTTCTATGCCTAGAGTATCTGGTTGCAAGTAGATTGCATATAGAGTAATGCCTGTACCGTCAGGCAGAGGCCAACCCAACTGCAGCAGAGGGACCCCTCCAGGACACTGCACATTTCCGCCTCTGCAGGTGCCCTGGCTCGCTGAGGTGCTTAGCTCCTGGGTAGTCCAGAATCAATAATCCTAGAGACAGAGGGACTTTAGAGGTCATTGAATTCTACCTCCCATCCATTGTTCAAACTCCCTTCTTCAGCCATCTTTCTGACAAATAGTTGTCTAGCCTAGTGCTTTCATAAGACAGAATTTATGTACTTTAAAGAATTTTATTGTTCTTGGTATGATTGTTTTAGGTTAAAACAATCTCGGGTTTACAGTATTGCTGGGGTGTAGCTAATCCTTTATGCAGAACCCTAAAAAGTCCTAGTTTGTAATCGAAGACATGGGCCCAATTGCTGACTCTGCTGTTAAATTGCAGGATAGCCTCCAACAGGTGGCCTGGCCTCCTTGGTCTTCAGTTTCTCGTCTATAGTATTAGGAAGGCTGTCTATTCTTTAGGTCACTTTCTAGTTCTGAAAGCTATCACTGATGTAATAATAACAATGTAAATTTAGCTTCCTGGGAAATTAATGAGCTGACATTATTAAGACATGAGGAGTTTGGAGAAAATGACAAGACATCAGTACATTATAGAATCGTAATTTGTTGTTTGGGAGATGGCCAGAAATGCCTCAAGGACTTTGAACATTGCTACTAACCTACCTTAGGCTACCTAAGTCTAAGACTTAGGTAACCTAAATCTTAGACTTACTAGTAGGTAACCTAAGTCTTCTGGATCTCAGGCTCATCTGTGAAGTGAATGGGTAAAATGAGCGGCTTTAACATTATATGAATATTTTGAGAAAGGAAAATGTTGCTGACATTTTCCTTTCTCAAACAGATGATTTTGGCACCTGTATTAGGTAAACAGTATTACCTTTGTTTTGACATCTGACATTAGTGGCTGTGGTATGAATTTCTTTAAATGAGTCATATATAATTAGAAATTGACATCACATCCAATTAAAAAGTTGGATAAGTAGGGTCTCAAGTTCCATTCTTATTTTCTTCTCTGAAGTACCTTGTTTATGAGTTCTAATATTTAAACATTTTAATAATAAGAATTCAAAAGAAATAGACTCAGATGGCAGAGTGGGGAGGGGTGGGAAAGGGCTTCAAGAACCACCTGGAATATTTAGTGAGCTTTTGAGATAAAAGGAGATCAGCCTTTCCTCATTTGGACTCAGAGGGCAATGCCAGGAGGTGAGTGAACATTGCAGAGGAAAATGCTGAGTTGATACTTTGGAAAACATTCTCACAATTGGAATTGGTTGCATTTCCTGTTACTGGAGGCAAGTATTTTTGAGAGATGTATAGTAGAGTAGATACAAATAGTCAATATGGACAGTGAGAGGTTAGTTTAGAAAGGAAATGTGGAGCCTCTATAGCAGCGGTTCTCAACCTGTGGGTCGCGACCCCTTTGGGGGTCACACGACCCTTTCACAGGGTTCGCCTAAATACATCCTGCATATCAGATATTTACATTATGATTCATAACAGTAGCAACATTACAGTTGTGAAGTAGCAACGAAAATAATTTTATGGTTGGGGGTCACCACAACATGAGGAACTGTATTTAAGGGCCGCGGCATTAGGAAGGTTGAGAACCACGGCTCTATAGTCTTAATCCACCTACGAGAAATCACATGAGCCAGAAAAGCATTGATCTTAATGGGACAAATACAGTAGTTGGGAAAAGTCATCAAATCCTGATTGTTAGCCTTTCATTATGATTCCTGTTCACCTCTAGCCCAGAGTGACCCTCGAAGGTCTAGATTGGGCCTTCACCCAGGACCTTCAATAAGAATAGAGGTGAAGTTATTGATAAACCCATAAAGAACCAAGACTAGAACCCTATGTTATTCTACCAGGCTGACTTTTGGTGCTAAGGAAGTTTTGCTGGTCAAAGTAAGGACTGTCTCTGATAAGTACGCAAATGAAGTTATCCTCTACTCAGCAAGAAAAGGGTAGAAAAGTTGAGGGAGCCTAGTGGTAGGAACTTGAGAGAATGGACTTTGGAGCCACAGGCCCCTCAGTGCTTCTGGGGCTGTCAGGGGTTTGAAAGAAGCCTTTACATATAAAAGCTCAGAAAGGCAGACAAGTAGGAAGGTGGTATGGGTTGTATAAGGAGCCTAGGATATGAGAAGAGGTGACCTAAAATTAGGTTCTTTATTCCACATCACTTCCCTATCCTGGAGGTCGGGTTAACATTAAATTATGGCCTTCCCTTTATGAAATTCCTTGAGTCTTTGTTAATCTATAAACTGGGACTGATAATACTTATTTTATTTCATTCATTCACTCACTCAATTTAGTTACTCAACAAATATATATTGAGTGTCAGGAATTGTTCTAGGCATAAAAGATACAGGAGTGAACAAAATGGATAAAAATCCCTGCCCTCATAGAGTTTATGTCAGGTAGTGGAGTTATTATACTGTAACTACTCTTAGTAGGTTATTGGATGAGCACTTTGGGAAGGATGCTAGCACTGGTAGGCAAATGACAGAAAATACAGTGCAAAATGATGGAGTGCTTTGAGGGACGCTCAGTCATTCTGTTCCAAGTGCAATTCTTATGTTTAAACTACTGGATAAACAGTAAAATAAGAGGACAGATGGAAAGAGACTCAAATGGAAACATTATATAATGCTTCTTTCAGTTACTGAAAACACTGACTTTAATAAATAAACATCGATGAGACTAGTGAGTAAAGAAATTAATTTTGAATAGGAATTTGTCATTGAAATTATATCAAAAGTTCCAACTGTTCTTGCTAGCCTTAATATTAGACTTTAAAAATTTTTTAATTAAAATTTTTCATTAAAACAATTAACATTACTTTTCAAATATATGTACCTTATTTATGTAATTCAAATTATAATATTACATATTGCCTGCAATAAACAAGAGGAAAATTAATGCTGTAGTATTTTGTTTTTATGAAGTTTAAAATGAAAGCATTCCAGAAATGTGAAAATTGTAATTCTGTATGCCTCATGTTAGCTTGTATAAATCATTTGGGATTGAATTCTTGAAACTTGAAATAAAACATGTCCTTGTAGTTTCCGAAGCATTTTTCCTCTAATGAGATAAACAGAGATGTCAAAGACAGTGGGACATGAATACTTTGTCATTTTGCTCTCTGCAAGAAAAGGAAAGGGAAATTCGTAGGAATTCACTGGGTCTGCTCTTCACTCTGCTAATGATTTATCTGTTTCTCCTGTTGCTTATTTTCCATGAAATTAATAGTCTGTACAGGACCCACCAAGTTCTACCTGACATGGAAATAGATTGATGATTTTCTTCAACTCATCTGTAGACCAAAGTCTCATTTGTGTTGGAATAATTATCTTCTAAGAGCAGATCTATCTGAGAGGCGAGGCACTGTTTCTCCTTTCTGATCCCCTCATTCATGTACTGTTCTCTAACCTTCCCCTGGACCAGAAGATGCTGCTGACAACGGTGCTGGGAATACCATTCAGACTTCCTTTTTATTTCTTTACTTCTTAAGGCAAGTGGTCTCTGAAATTATTATTATTTTTAATCTATATAGTTAATTGATTTCAGAGAGGAAGGGAGAGGGAGAGAGAGATAGAAACATCAACGATGAGAGAGAATCACTGATCGGCTGCCTCCCACACACCGCCTATTGGGGATCGAGCCTGCAACCCAGGCATATTCCCTGACTGGGAAT